GAGTCTAAAAAAAGATATGTAATGATGTAATAATTGTTAAAGGTGTAAAGAGTGACTAAAAATAAATAATATAGTGAGAGGATAAAAAATAAAAAAAAATAATAACAAACAAATTATGAATATTTGACTGCATTTTTCGTGTAGTAATGCGTGATGTCCCTACTACAACATTGACTTCTCCTTTCTGTAATAATTATTTTCATTTAGAGTGAAATAACTACAAGTTAACCCTTTCCATCAATATGTATACATTATAATGACCAAGAAATGCAATTGCTATCAACATTCACATGATTTTATGCATTGTTTCTGTTCAAAATTCAATCTTTTTTTTATGAATAAAAATCCAAATTATTCACAAGTATTAGAGCAATTAATGTTTTACTTTTTTCTCTGCACTTTTTACACGTTAATTATGATTTTACACACTTTCTTCTATACACTTTTCACACGTTAATATATAGTCTAATATTCCAATAAACCTTTACTTATTCCATGTCATAATACTTTCTTCTCTACACTTTTCACATGTTAATATATAATCCAATATTCTAGAAAACCTTAACTTATTCTACAAGTTAATATACTAAACCCACACCACATTCTTCTAGCCCAATGATGACTTCCCCTTTCCCCTTTTGCTTTCATTCATTTTCATAAAGTATTAGAACAATTAATTTTTCACTTTCTTCTCTACATTTTCCACACGTTAATATATATTCCAATATTCCAAAAAGCCTTAACTTATTCTAGGTCTTCTAGTTGAAGAATTCTTCATTACAATAATGAAATACTACATCAATATTATTCTAACCAATAAAATGTTTATAAATCATAAGATTCTCTTTCTATCACATTCATTAGAGGTTTCTCATGTTAGTTCTTATTAATTATGATTTCCACAAAAAGACTGGACTATAATCAACCATTGGTTGTCACATATCAACCATTCATTGTGAATTTTCTTGAAATAGCTAAATCAAATAGGGTAGGAACTCTTGATTTTATTTTTTTAATGAATTGTTTTTCGTTCAGTCCTTTTCATTGCCAAATCATAACTTGTGAAGCTTGTCCTCTCTATTGTTCTACCATGCCCACTAAAAACTTTTAAACAAGGATAAAAGAAAATAAAAGAAGTTAGTGCAATGTAGCTAATTTTCCAAAAAGGTTTTTTTAAGGTGTTTATCTAAAAACTTATTTTCTAATTAATATTATCAAAAATTAATCATTAGATTAAAAATTTTATTTATATAAATTATGAATATCAATTTTCATATTAATTTAGCACTTATAATCATCTGATAAAAGAAACACTATTTAATTGCTTATATATATTTAATGGCATTAAATTTTGCATAATTAATAAACTGATTAGGCTTACAAGATTAATCACAAAGTTAATATATATGATTTATATGAATAATACTTTTAATATAAAATTAGTTTTTAAAAATATTAATTTAAAAAAAAATTAGAGAAATCCTTTAAAACACATATTGAAAGAATGGCGTGCAAAATATTTTTTTTCCAAAATAAAATGCAAAGTAAAAGGATGAAGATTAAGAAAGACTTAAAAGTATTACTACATAGTTGACTACCATAAGTGGTGATCTAGATATATAGAGAAAAACTCTAAAAACTATAATTACTTTTTTACTAGCAAAGTTAATTTTCTTATTAATCAAAATATATAACTTATGGCAAATAAAAACTTGCAAGAAGCCAGTGATTTAAGTAAATCAATGTTAATCTTCCTTTGTTGAATGTAAGAAATTTTGAGTTGTATAAGATGCAAGTAAAAAGAGCTAACGGATAGAGAAATGATGTCTCCCCCTATGCAATTTTGGATTAAAAAAAAAGGACTCATAAGTGAAACGAAAATTTCGCACATATCCAAATAAGAAAAATATTATCTTTTATTGTATATCTCATCAATTAATATAACATTGCACTCTATTCTCTACACTTCCCACACGTTAATTATTGTTTCACACTAACTTTTTTTTTTACACTTTCTACACGTAAATATGTACTTTCTATATGTACTA